CTCTGCCAATGGGTGACCCCTCCTCACTCGGACGTATCCAGGATGGTGGCTCAGAAATGGAGTGGGAGACCCCTGGAACCCATGTCAGCAATGCCCCCCACCATGGGGTACCTACTTAGAAAGGAGGGGGTGGCATGCAGGGTCTCTGGGCCGAGACAGGCTGGTACTGCAGGGGGAACCCCGGGGGGGCATCTTGGGTCTGTGGCTTCTCTTGGGTGGTTCAGGGGCTTCATCCTGCCCTGCCAGACCCCCTGGCACCCCCTGCAAAGGAGGAGGGGGCAGGCCAGGCAGGGCCAGGGGGCTGAAGGAATGGCCCATCCTGCCTCTTCTGGTCCAGGTGGGCTCAGGGCTTCGTCTCCTTCCTGCCTCCCACACCTGCAGGTTCCCTTCAGAAGGTTTGTGGCCAGGGGGCCGGAGCTGAGAGGGCTCCCCCCTTCTGCCCTCTCTTGGGGTTTTGGCAGAGTGGGGAAGCGCCCTATGGGGAAAGTACCCTATGCCCCCCCCAAGGAAGAGGGTCTCTTGTGGGTTGGCGTTGCAAGGTTTCACACCTGCAGTAACTCCTGACTGACCCCTGCAGCTGCTGGGGGGGCACTGCCTCAACCGGTGCTGTTGCAATCTCCCCCCCCCCCCGTTGTCCCTTGCCATGGAGCCCCCAATGAGGGTGGCCAGGAGGTTTTTGCCCCAGCAGATGAGGTCTGAGCAGGATCCAAGTGGCTTTAGCAGTCTAGTGTTCTGAGAAAAGACTTTGGAAATGGGGGGGGCATCGTGGCTCATGGAAAACCCCCACCCCCAGGTTCTTTTATGCCACTAGAGGCTGAGTGGAGCATGGCAGTCTGGCTCTGAGACCAGGAACCAAAATGACCTCTAAAAATAGAACAATATTTGAACCATTTAAAATACATTGCCCCCCCCCAAAGAAGAATGCAGATTAATAGCTGCTTAATTTGCAATTACTGCTTGTTACACTTTAGTAGCTCTTGGCTGGAATGAAGCCTCTGCATTCAGCAGTCAAGCCCTGAAGAGGCAGAGGGGGCCTTATTTTCAACCAAGAGTCAACAAGGGGCTGGAAGTGCCTCTGTGCCCCCCCCCGTCCTTCCCTCTTCCCTCCCTGAGAGCCCTGAACCGGGTATTACGTGCTTAAAGCACCTACAGCTAAGTGTGTGTGGGGGGGTGGCCAGGGGGTCTCTCCTGGGCTTGCAGACCCTTCCCACCTCAAGTGGCCACGTTCTTCCTCTGCCGGTCAGGCTGAGCAGAAGGGCTCCGAAGGCAGGGAAGAGCCATTGAACAGCTGCCCTTGTTATGCCAAGAGTGACGGGGCTCCAGATCTCCTGGACCCTGGGCTCAGCTGTGGGGGGGGGGCTGCAGTTAAGCCCCCCTACTTTCCCCTCCTCTGGGGATGTGCTCCCCCACCCCAGACACACACACCGCAGCTTGGAGTGGAAGGGCGAGGTCCCTCCCTTCCCACGATCTGCCACTAGGGGGCCTTGGCGCTCCTTGCTTGGAGAAGCCAGAGTCTCACTGGGGGAACTGAGGCAGCTCCCAGCCGGGCAGACCAGAAGCATCTCTGAGTCTTCCTCGGGGTCCAGAGGGGGGCGGACAGCGGCCCCCTCTCACACGTGGCTCTCCTGTGGCTCTGGAGGTGGCCCAGGGTCCCTTCTCCTCAAACTGGGCTTCTGGGGTTGGCAGAGGACAAGAGCCCATTCAGCCCAGTTCAGGCTCAGAGCAGGATCCCGAAGGGATCTGATTTAGGATCAGGCAAAAGACAGAAGCACCCATTGCAAACGCAGTTAAGATATGTATATAAGCTAAACATTATTGATAACGGTAGCAAAGATGTTTTTATTTAGTTGATAACAATAAGAATTGTACTAGCCCAATATGAGATAATAGATATTAATGGAAAAGGAGAGAAAATGTTTGATGTTGTAACATGAGATTTATACTAAAGATTTACGTACGCTATTGAACTATTGATTAACCCAGTCATCACATTGCTTTTTAAATATTCAACTGTAAAATGAGAAAATCAATAAAATATTATTTAAAAAAAAGTCTCCACTGCATCCTGAAATCGTGTGAAGGCACAAGATGTGCTGTGTCCTTCCTGAGGGACAACTTCATGGTTAAACTTCGGCAGCCCTTCGGCCCTTTTGCAGACCGCCGCGGTGGGCACCAAGTGGGGGATGAACCAATTGGTTGCTTGTGGGCCCGAGGGGAGCCCTGCCCTGCGAGGCCCATAAAAGCACCAGCTGACCTACTGCCTCCAGAGAGCCCATCTTCACTGAGACCCGCAAAGTGTCTCACGGCATCCTTTCTCTGGGGCATCTCTCTCCCCCCACAACCGTCAGTTGGAACTGACCCCTCAGAAAAGACCAGTGACTCCCCTCCGATTGCTTGGAGGACACCATGTGTGGGAGATGACCCGGCCGAGCCCCTGCACACCTGCAGCAGATCCAGGTCCTGCCAGCCTTGAATGCCTCTCTGATCTCCTCTTCGTTTCCCTTAATGGCCAGTCGGTCAGATTCTTGTAGAGAGCTTAAGTCTTGCCACAAATCTTTAACCTCATTTGAACTGCCCAAATCTCCTGACTTCTCCGGCGTTTGAGGCCATGGGCCATGGGATCCAAAGNAGCCCCTGCACACCTGCAGCAGATCCAGGTCCTGCCAGCCTTGAATGCCTCTCTGATCTCCTCTTCGTTTCCCTTAATGGCCAGTCGGTCAGATTCTTGTAGAGAGCTTAAGTCTTGCCACAAATCTTTAACCTCATTTGAACTGCCCAAATCTCCTGACTTCTCCGGCGTTTGAGGCCATGGGCCATGGGATCCAAAGCTCCTGAGAGGTGTCTCCTCCCGTCCCAGTCTCCCCGAGGCTCATCCCAAGGAATTCTGGGAGTTGAAGTCCACACATCTTTTAAGTTGCCACGGTTGAGAAATATTGGTTCCTTAGAGCATATTTGCAGTAAATTAGGACAGATTGCTGGAGCTTCTGGTCCATGAGAGGGTGCTCCTTCGTACTATGGCCGTACCTCCTCCCGCCCCCCCCCGCCCAGCCCTGGCCTGCCAAAAACTCGTAGGACACAACTTTTCTCTACCCTCTTAACTCCGTCACTGTGCTGTGATCCAGGACTAAACCCTGACAATGGACGTCTGGCTGGGCATTAAGTAGCAGAATTGTACTGGGGGCCCCCAATGGCTCCTCCCTTCGCTGGGCTGCAGCCTGAACCTTCCTTTCCCAGCAAAGGCTGGTTGCAGTCGCCCCTGGGCTTGCACAAATCTAGATGACCACTAGATGGCAGCCAAGACTAATAGCAAAGAAAGTTTTGCAGCACAAATCTGCCAGCCTTGCAAGGTAGTCCAAATACAAAGCCCACTCGGGAATATTAGCGCTATCTTTATTGTAAAGTTATGTTAATAGAATCTTGCAGGTCTGAGGGTACATAGCTTACCTTACCTTTACGGTCCAAGAAACTAGGGAGGGTCCCTTCTGAGACCTTTGCCAGTCCTTCTGGGGCAGGGGTAGGCAACCTTGGCTCTTTTATTACGCGTGGACTTCAACTCCCAGAATTCCTGAGCCAGCATGGCTAAGCATGGAAACCTCTCCCTTTCCCCTCAGCATGGCTGGCTGAGGAATTCTGGGAGTTGAAGTCCACCAGTCATAAAAGAGCCACGGTTGCCTACCCGTTCAGTTGCCTCTGACTAGACCACGAGCTGTCTGCAGCTTTTCCTCCTGTTCCCCTTTCCCACCTACAGTTACAAACAGAGCTGATTATTCTAGCCTTGCCAGCCACTGGAGGGCTGTCAACTAGGATCTCACTTATTTAAGTGGACATTTTCCCTTGCTGGAAGACCTGCTGGTCCCCCAGGCCTTGCGGGAGGGGTCAGTGACTTTGGGGGTTTGATCTGACTTTTTGTACTTTGCTTTTCGGGTCTCTTGTGTTTTTATTTTAGCAAGCTGGATTTTAGTTCTAAGCTAACCAGAGACTCGTGGGAGTTTAGGGGGTCTATAAAATTGAGAGTTTTCCCGCTTGGAAACATGCTCGGCCCTTCCAGGGTCCGCGACCCACAGCAGTGCCGCCTTCCCCTGCGCTGCACGTGCTCTGCTCTGCGCATGCTCGCGCTCCAGAACACCAGCCCCCCGTTCTGGAGTAGCGAGCCTGCCCCCCCCGGCCCTCCTTCTGCACTCCCACCGCGCAGCCCCTGCCAGGGCCGGTGGGGGGGAATCCCGGTGGGGGGGGAACTCTGCATCTGCACCGAGGTTAACCAGGGCTGCGGCGGAGCCCTCGAGGCCGGGGCGCCTTCGTGTTGGGGTTCGGAGGCCGCTCTGTTGCTGGCAGAGCTCCCGGCGGAGCCCCTGGCCCGACTGCAGCCCGCCGCTGCGCGGGAACGCCGCCCTAAGCTAACCACACCGGGGCGGCCAGACGCCCGCCGGGGGCGGGGGGCGGAGGGCCGCTCCCTGCAGAGGCCCGGGGCGCGGAGGGGGCGCGCGAGGCTGCCCCAAGTGCGCGAGGCGGCTCTCCCCGGACTCCAGCCGAGCAGCCCGCGAGCCACGCGCCGCTCTACCCATCGCCCCCCCCCCGGCAGCCCTCCAGCCCAGCCGCCGCGGCTCCTGCCGGCCCCCCGCAAAGTTTGGGGGGGCGCCAAACGGCCCGGAGGCCCCGCCCGCCCGGGGAGCTCTGCGCGGGACGCCCCCCGCGGCCGGGCGAGGGGCGGAGCCAGCCCGCAAGGGCGGGGCCCTCCTGGCGCGGGGGGGCGCTGGGCCGGGCGGGGGCGGGGCCACCCTACTGCAGCTGCAACAGCAGCACCGCCGCGCCTGCCGCCCGTCGCCTCCGCCCNGGGGCCCTCCTGGCGCGGGGGGGGCGCTGGGCCGGGCGGGGGCGGGGCCACCCTACTGCAGCTGCAGCAGCAGCACCGCCGCGCCTGCCGCCCGCCCGCCCGTCGCCTCCGCCCGCGGGAGCCGGAGAAACTTTGCCGCAGGAGCCGGCTGGGCCCCCCCCCCGCCGGGATGAGCCTGCCGCGGGCGGGTGAGGAGTCGCCGCCGCCGCCGCCGCCGGCCTGGCTGCCGAGCCACGTGCAGGTGGCGGTGGTGCAGGCGCGGGGGCTGCGGGCCAAGGGGGGCCCGGGCGACGCCGCCTTCGTGGCGCTGCAGCTGGGCCGGCAGAAGCACCGCACCGCCGTGGCCGCGCACCGGAGCGGCTGCCCGCGCTGGGCCGAGGAGTGCGCGCTGGAGCTGCCGCCGCCCGACCCGCGCCCGGCCCCGCCGCCCGGCCCGGACCCGCAGCTGCTGCAGCTGGTGGTCTGGCAGCGCGCGCTGGTGGGCCCCGACCGCTTCCTGGGCCGCGCCGCCCTCCCGCTGGCCGCGCTGCTGCAGGACGGCCGCGCCCACCCGGACCGGTGAGTGGCGCGCGGGCTCCTGGGCGCGAGCAGAGCGCGGCTCCCCCGCCCGACCCCCCGCCCCCGAAACGCCGAGTCACTCCCGGGGCGGGGGAGGGGGGCTGGGGGGGTTGCAGCATCGGGCGGGGCCGCCCTGGACTCCCCGCTTGGGCCATCCCCCCGCCGGGAGGCATTTCGGGGTCCGGTCCATTCTGTGCGGGGGGGCACGAGAGGAGGCCTGGCTTGACCCCTGGGAGGGGACCCTGCTGGGGCGCCTGGATTTCTGGCCTGGACCTGCCTGGGGGGGGCGGAGGTGCAGTTGGGCTGGAAGAAGGCAGGGCAGGCCCTCCCACCCCTCCCCCGCACCAGGGGAACCTTGAGCCCAAGTCCATTTCCCCAGATGTTGGGCACATCTGGGGCAACACTTGCAGGTTGTTCGGTCCTATCTGGAAGGCTGCAGCGAGGGCCCCCGGCCTGCCCCAGGGGAGTAGATGCCCTGTGGAGGAGCCCTGCTGGCTGGTTCCTGGCAGGCTTCGGGGGGGGGGGTAGAAACTGGGGTGCCTCTGGGAGGGGTCAGGGCCGCTGCATCCCTGCTTGGTCTCCCCACTCAGCCAGCCTCGAGGGGGCATTGGAGGGGCCATGCCTTGGTCTCCCAGGAAGATGGATGCTCCTGCAACCTTGGCAGGGAGGGTGGTGAGCAGCTTCCTTCCCATCCGGTCCATTTGGTGAAACTGCACAGATGGCTCCTCACTTTCCCCTTCCAGGCTGGACTTCAACTCCCATAATTCCCAGGCAACATTGCCCACGTTGGTGTGGGAAGGTGTCTTTCAGGGTCTGATACTAAAAGCCCCCCAGCTTGGGCTAGTTGGTTCTGCCATATAAGTCCTGTTTCCCTTACTTTCTGCAGGCATCCAGTTGGGGCCTCTTGGGAGGGGGCTTTGCAGGTTGGGGCGCCAGTGTGGGGGAGCCGTCTTGTGGGGGTGCCCTCTCCCCTGCTGGATTCCAGGGCAGGGGTCGGGAGTTGACCAGGCCCCGATGGAGGGCGCTGGCTGGGAGGACCTACATTTCTGACCACCCTGAGCGGCACTGCCCTCGCCTTGCTGAAGGCCTCCGTTATAAACAGGGAGCCCACCAGCTGCACCCGGGGTGTGTCCTGTGCTGACTTTGGCCCAGGTTGTGTTTTTGTTCTGTGTTTTTGAATACCTAAATTGCTTGGTCATTTGTTGCCTTGAATATTTCATGGTGAGTGGAAAAGGGCCTGCATTATTGCCCAGAAGGGGACATTGTGTGGGTCTACCGGGAGGGCTGAGCCGTGGCTGGGTTGCTGCTGCTGTTGGCACTGCCCGGGCTTTCTTCCTGCCCAGGGTGCAGCGCATCAGTTGGGGTGACACACTGGCTTGTCTCATAGGAAACTCCCTGGCACCCCTCTCCTCCATCTCCTTGGGTGCCCCCCTGGCCCAGAGGCTCCTTCTGCTCCCTGCTTTGGTGCAGGAAAAGGCCGGTTTCATCACAGGCCAGGCGATTGTTCCAAATGTCACACAATTGTGTGAACTCGGGGCTGTTCGCTTGAGATAAGGCTGACTGTTTGTTCTCCAGCCGCCTCAGGACCCAGCTGTGCCTCTTCCGGCACAATCTCTCGGTGGCCATGACCACCTTCAGCACGGTCTGCCTGCAGGAGCCGTAGGAAGCAGCCTCTCCTGCGACCTGTGGGTGGACTTGAGTGGGGGTTCCCTTCAGGTCCCGCGTTTTCAGACATTGTGAGATGAATCTGCTGGAAATTAGGAAACAACGGAAGTTGCGTTGGAAGCAGGACGGGGTTGTTTCTCCTCTATAATAAGATAACTTCAAGGAGGTAAATTTAGGTTGGCACCAGGGCTAACTTCCAAAGAGGGGTGCTGGGCTGGAAGAAACCGTCCCTGCAGCTTCTCATGAAGTCTCCAAAGAAAGTTGGACAGACCACAAGAGAACCGGGTTTGGTGGCATCTCATCTGATGGACTTCCGGGCATCGCAGTTCACAGACATCAACACTGAAATGAAAAAGGGGGCTGAGCGGGTGGGGCAGCTCAGCTCTAAGAGGAGGAAGGATGGCAGGCGCTGGGCCTGGGCACGGAAAGGCCCCTCCTACAGAAAGTGGCGCTCACCAAGGGGGCTTCAGCAGTGGAGTCACAAAACAGGGAAGACTTTAGGCTTGGTCCAGGTCAGGGGTAGGCCACCTTGGCTCTTTTATGACTCGTGGACTTCAACTCCCAGAATTCCTGAGCCAGCTTGGCTGGCTCAGGAATTCTGGGAGTTGAAGTCCACGAGTCATAAAAGAGCCAAGGTGGCCTACCCCTGGTCCAGGTGGAAACAAAAATGGTGAACGTTCTTCGCTTTTATTTCGGGACCTGAGGAGTCTTGCTGGAAACAAACTTCAGAGTACGGATAAAGAAGAGTTTGTGTAGCTCAGAGTTGAAATGAAGGGTCCTTGGTCCGCCAAGCTCAGCACCAAGGACCCCCCCCCCCCGAACTTCAGAGCTTTTGCAATCCGGATGGAGACACGTCCCTGGAGCAGAATGCGTCCATCTCAATTCAAAGAAGCCACATACATGCTCCTTTCGGGTGTGGAAGAAGGCCGTCTGACAGCCGGGGTTCCTTCCCCTGGTTGAGCCAGGGCCTGCCTTGCTTCCGAGCGGGATGGAGCAATTTCCCCTTCTCTCACCAACTGCTGCTCAGGCTGGACGGCTGCAAGCTGAACTTTGTGCAAAGGTCTGGGGGTGGCTGCAAGGCTGCAGGAGCTGTGGAAGGTTTCCTGGCCGTGTTGAAATCTAGCACTAATCAACACACTTTTGTGAGTGCAGGCTTGGGAATGGCCACTGTCCACCCTGCAGGAGGGCCTCTGCCATCAGCTGACACCAGCCTTCCCTTCCATTAGTTGGGAAGGTTGGAAATCCCAATCCGGCTTTTCTGGAGAGCCCTGGGAAAATAAAATTAAGCTGAGATTCTCAGAGTGGCATAAACCAGAATTCCTGTAGGGCTGCCATACTGCCTGGGAATTGTAGGAATTTGTCTAAAGCCCTAGAAGGGAACCAGAATAGGAAAGCTTTTATTTATAGGGATGACTTGGGCAGCAAAGATAAAAGGGCAGCAATCCATAACAATTTACAAGAGGCAAGTACAAGCCACTATGACATCTAACCAGCCCACGGTCCCTGGACCAGGCTCCTTCCCGTCCTAAAAGCCAGCTCCAGAAGGCCAGTAATAAGAGTGGAGGCTGTTCCCCAAGGCAGGCGCCATGACAGAAGGTAACACACGTCCTGGGACCCTCCAGGCCCTACTGCTTCATCCAGAGGACCTCTGGAGCTGTTTGCCCTGCAGGATCTGGAGTGCAGCTCTCGTTGGCTTGCAAGTCCAAACATCAAGGTACTTCCTTTGGACTTTATGGCTGAGCAGAGCCTGAAGGATGAAAAGCTGGGGGTCTTAGGCCTTTCTCCTCTCCCAGAAGACCTCAGGCCCGCCCCCCTTGACTTCGGGACGTGGTTTGGGAGTGCCCACTGCCCTCCTCCACTTCCCGTCACCTGGAAGCATTGCGATCTGTCTTGATTCCCGTTTTAGTTGCTCTGCAGATCTGAGGACTGTTGGAGTGAAGGGCACCGCGTGTCAGTTCTTAGGGTGGGCCAGGTGAGGAAACAGGCGCTGCCCGGATTCCAGGAACACAATTTTATTTTTGGGAATCTCGAAAGCCTGCCAGCGTGGCTCTCTCTCTCTCTCTCTCTCTCTCTCTCTCTCTCTCTCTCTCTCTCTCTCTCTCTCTCTCTGTCTCTGTCTCTGTCTCTCTCTCTCTCTGTCTCTCTCTCTCTGTCTCTCTCTCTCTCTCTCTCTGTGTGCGTGTGTGTCATGAGTTGCCTTCTGTCCTTCCTTAGTGACTCATCCAGTCCATCAGGGTTATCTCCACACCCAGCAGAGGAAATTGCAGTGTTGTGCAGCTTCTGCCGAAAAATATTTTGGAATTAAAGCTGAGAACCAGGGATTCAATGGGTTCATAAGGAATGGTGGCCACAAGCTGCCTGGGTGATTTACAGATTCCCTACCAAAAAATTCAGCATCTCAGAATTCATGCATTTCCTGAAGCCCACCCGTTGTTCTTAGGACAACTCGGAGTTGGAAAAGACCTAAGAGGTCATCAAGCATAACTGCTTGCATCCAGCAGCATCCACTATGGCAGCCCTGCCTGATGGCTGTCCTTCCTTCAGAAAAACTCTGTGTACAGAGAGGGGGATTTTATACCACTTGAGACTTTGGAACCATCAGTCACAAATCCCCGGATGTTGTGGTCAGTGTGGAAGAGGGTTTGGGTGGGGGGCAGCCTGGTTGCCCTTTGGACCTCCTGCCGTCTTTCTGCTGAGAGAGCAGCCCGTCGGTCATTCGTGACCAGCGTAGCTTCGGGCAAAGGGGGAAAGTGTTTCCCACGCTTGTGGAGATTTGGGCCTGTCTCCAAAGCTTGGCTGCCTGGGCTGGGTGGCACATGGGCAACACACAAGATGTCTGTTGGGCCCTCAGCCTTGGGAAAACAGTTGCCGATGTCATCACCAACGTGGTCTTCTGGGATGATTGGAGTGGCCGAAGGGATCCAGTGTCTGAGTGGAAGATCAGGCGTGGGACCTTCCTGTAGGACGTAACAGAGTGGGACCTTCTGGGGCTGCCCTGACTCTTCAAGAGAGGCCACCTTCAGGAAGAGAGCCGTCTCCTGGAGAGGCGCAGACCAGGGGCACGATAAGAATAAAGCTTCTGCACCAGGGAGCAGCTTGCCTCCGGTTGGGGAGAACTTCAGCAGCTCCACCGACTGGGACCGTGTCCTGCCTTTACCACTGGAGAAAGGAGGAGCAGGACCAGGAGCTCTGGAGTACAAAAGGAAGCTGAGAAACCGCCGTCTTTCGCTTGCTGCTGGTTGTGCAGGTTGAGCCTCATCGTAATTACAGCACCAGAGAGTGCCCTTTCAGAGAAGACTGGAGGAAAACTTCATTGACTGAAAGAGAAGCTTGTA